TATGCAGCTGCTCCTGCTGCTGCGCCTCACTTGTGCGCCTACGCAGACAGCAGCGAAGCAGCAACAGAGCTCACCGGATGAGAACAGTCATGATCGTGGTCTTTGAGGCATGCAGCCGTGTCACTAGTTGTTGAGCGCCTAAAAGTGAACTCAGGCGGAGCTGTCCGCTGTTGCTGGTCCTGCTAAAAGAGCCCTTGTGACTTTGTCCCAGAATGTTGTTTTCAAGCTGTGTTTCCCGTCAAAAGCTATTCGGTCTCCTCGTATGCTAGAAGGAAGCCTATCGCAAATGCATGCGGACAAGCTTGCTCCTGAATCAGCAAAGATTAGATTTGTTCACCGGACACACACACACGCACGCACACACAACCATCTAGTATCTAGTTTATTTACTTTAGATTAACATTATTAGCTTTTTCTTCTTTTGCTCTTTCCTTTGGTTGGTTATTTTTTTGTATTTCCTTTTAATTCCTGTAAAGCATTTTGTATTGCCTTGTTGCTGAAAATGTGTTATGTAAATAAAATTACCTTTACCTTTACATACACACACACACAGATGTTTTCGTGGCTATCTTTCTGGGGACTTTCCATTGACTTCCATTCATTTCTATAGCCTTACACCTAACCATTACATACCTAACTCTAACCGAAACTCAATTCACACCTTAGTCCTAAATCTAACCCCTGGCCCAAAAACAGCATTTCCCCATGTGGGGACCAGGCTTCGGTCCCACAAGGAGCAGTGGGTCCCCGCAACGTAGTATGTGTCAGGAAAATGATCCCCACAAGGTATTACAAACAAATGCACATACACACACACACACATGCATACTTGCTCTTTTTTTCACCCCTTGTAAACTTCCCACTGCTACACTGTCATTCCTGTTGTCTTTCTAATTTCATCTGAGGAACCCTGCCAAGGCTGTAATGAACTCGAGTCATGAGAGACCGCCGTGGAAGGGTGTGATGTGCAGCAGGGAAGAAAAAAAACGGAGCAGGAAGGGAAGGCAGAGACAGTGTTAAAGAGAAAGGGGGCAAGCCAGGTTAACGCGACTCGTTTCTGTGACTTGTGTTTGTGTCTCTCTGTGAGCCGTGCGTAATGTTGTCCAGGTTTTTAAATTAATCAGTGCGGCAGGGCGGATCATCTAAGCTGGTGTAATGTGTCGACTCCTTTATTCAATTTGAGCAGTAATCTTCATCAGCCCCCCGCTATAAAACTAGCTTCGCTTAGCCACGGCCAAACAGAGCCAGAGAACTGCTACAGGGATGAGTCATTAACAGGATGTGGGTAATACTTAAATAAGGGAAGCCATGCAGACTAAATCTCCTCATTATATTATATTATTATGGTCAAGAAGGACTTTGTTTGCATGAGCAGTTTGAGCTCTATTTGGAGTTAAGTAGATGGGGACAGTGCTACTATCTTTTATTTTAAGGGCCGTTAACCAGGATTACAAGTGTTACTGCTAATGTGATTTTAAAATTTTTAACTTTTTGCTCCTTTTTAAATTTTGACCTATGACTGAAGCGCTCCATTAAGCCTCTTTCACACTACCCTGCAGAGATCATCATAGCAGATTTGGAAAATCTTATTTTATCGTGAAATCAATTAGCATCCAAATGTATCCTTGGTTCTCGGGACATCGGTAACTCCCTGCTATTTTGTTAACCATCCAACCACAATGTCACCATTGGCTTCACATTGCACGGAGACGTTTCACATCATTTTGAAAATTTTTTCTGTAAATATAATGGGAGGTTTCTGCACCTCCACCATCAGGTTCAGCTGCCACTCAATGATTTATTGTGGAAAAGACGAGACATTACTCTGACTTGATTTGGCAAAGCAGAAGCAAATCCACACTGATCTTAACTACTTAGAATTTGGTTGTCGACCAATCGTATTCCCGCTCCTGCCAGCCATTCTATGAAAGAGTTGGGTTTATTACAGGATTCCTCTTTAGAAGCGAGACGGAAACTAAATTTCTTAGAAAATTGGGTAATGTGTGGAGTGAGTGGCTGTAAGACAATGACCAAACTATTCTCAGAAAACTAAACTGCATACAGTTAGTTATGTACCATGGAGTATTTGGAACTGATTTTACAACATTCAAGTAGCTAATCCAGCTGAACATTAAAGTAAGAGTTCAGTGCTTTCTAACAAGGTCACGCCATGAATATTTTTAGCAGTTTATATACAGGAGAGCATGTTTTGTTGCTGAGCAGAAGCAGTGGAATAAGCCATTTTTCCAAATTAATGTTACTGTGGAAAAGTAACATGAATAAATTCACAGCCTCCGTGTTTGTTGTCCTTTTTTTAAATCCAGGTGATCAAACCAATGTTCAGGTTTGTTGAGTTATGATGCAATAATTCCAAAATCATAATTATTAACCCAATGGGCCACTGCTTCTGTCTTCCCTCCTCCTAAAGATGATGCCTAAGATTCTCTTTCACAGCTTCACAAATATATTTTGTATTTTAACAGCAGCCCACAGAACTCACAACTTGCCTCCATCACACAGCAACCATGTGTGCAATTTGGAGGTGTGGGGGCTTCTCCTCATCAGGGGGGTTTTTGCGTAATTTGCCCTTTTCTCATCAGGAGGCTTTACATGAATAAACTTCTTCAAAGTGCAACATACAGAGAAATTATAGATTTTTGTTTTATCTGGAGCTTTTGTACGCTTGCCTCTCCTTTTTCTCCCCTTAGCATCTGCCCAACATTAAAACTCTTATCTGCATATAAGAGAGAATAGCTTTGCAATCATTGTTTCTCTTATAAAAGTGTATTTAATGCCAACTTGTAAGGCCTTGCAGTTTATTGTCGCAGCTCCTTAAACATTTTTAATGCTATATTTATTTACCTTTCTCTATTTAGATTCAAGTCGCAGGTTATGTAATGAGGACGACTGCATGAAGTTTATTCACAGCAACATCCTCTGATTGCAAATGTCGAACGTTAGACCGCTTACAATATTGGCTTAATCGATGGAGGGATAATGGAGGAATGGCCCACGCCGGAGCATGAAATGGCTTTCTAGTCAATTATCTAATTAAAATTGAGCTCTGGATAAACAGCATGCTGCATACTGAACAGCAATAACACCTCACCGTTTTATCCAGTTCCAAAACAAAGCTGTGAGAATTAACTCAAAGCCTGTTCCTGCTACATTATTTGTAAAATGTTCAAACATTTGCACATAGACTGGCAAAAATAGTTTTTAAACACCTTTCAGGCCTCCTGGATTGTGTTGTTTTATGCAGACTTGGTGCTTTTTTTGCCCTTTGCATTAAAAGGAAAACATAGGTCGCCACTTCCTTATGCACTTTCCAATGACTGAGATATCCAGTGTATATATCTCTTAAAGCCAGACATCCCTCGACTCAGCAGCACTTTGCTAAATGATTGTGAGGCCTTCCCAGGCCAGAAGGGATTTAGAAACCCTTTTTTATAAAAATATCACATTTGCATGACATTGAATTGACAAATTGTGTCAGGCTACATCAGCTCTGGAGCAGACTGGCCTTTAGAAATACCAGGGGATTTTCTGAGTGGACTGCAGTATGAATAGGCCAGTAACCTATGTGTTATTAAAATAAGTAGAAAAAGCTGCACAGGATTGAGTGAGTTGAGCATTTAGCAACCAAGTGTGGGGTAAAAGTGATGCTTTTTTTTTTTTTTTTTTGACTGGCTCTACTGTGCTATGTGGTTTCACTTACACCAACCTTGGAACGAACACAACTCCTATATTATGGTGGTGCTGCTCCATCTGAAATACAAACCAGGGCAGAAAGTAATTACATAACGGGGCAAACCTCGGTACCTAAAAATTGAGAGATTTAAAGAAAGCAGCTCTGCTGAAGTGAACTGAAGCTCTTAACATCACTGACATGTTGGTGCTGCTATTTCTACTAGCAGGAGAGACAATAAGTCAGATAAAAGATTCAGAGGGTCAATTACTTTGGATCAGACAGCAGAGATAACAGTAAAATAAGCTAATGAACCCAAAAACAGCTTCTTCAGTGATTTCCAGAAGAGCCTAAAGACTAAGTAGTATACATTACCATAAGAGGGTATCAATACAGAAGTATTTTCCAAGTCCAAATTTTCTTTTGTGCCATCCATCAAGCATCACTGTGGGGAAAGTTGAACCCACTTCTTTCTGGATAATTATTTTACTTCAGCAACACTGGAGAGTTTTCTTTCATGAACAACAATGTAAGGTCCCATCTCACCATCACAGTTGGATCAAATCCAGATTTAGACTTTTTCAAAAGATCCTTGTTTTTGAGCCACTCAAATGGACTTGATGGATCGGATTCAAGTTATCATTCATTTTGTGATGGTGTTCAGGTCCTGAAACAGCAATGCATCCCCAGACCATCACACTACCACCATCATGTGTGACTGTAGGTATAATACGTTTTCCGAAATATTCACCAGCTATTTTCCTCAAAAAAGGACGTGGCACACTGTACTTCGTGAAGAAGTTCCACGTTTTCTCCGTTTGCAGATCATGGCTCTCAATGTGGTTCAATGGAGTCCAAACGCCTAAGAGTGGACCTCAAAACACTTTTCATATTGACAGATGTCAGGCACTTTTTTTTTATTTTTTTACCTTCACCTATGTTTATTTATATTGGAGTGTGATGTCTTGCTTTTCAAGATCAGACTTCATCGTCGTACTTCATGGCACGACTTCATTGTTCAAATTTAGCATAAAACATTGGGACAATTCTAGTTTTACATTGGGTTAGATTGGTTTGAAAATATGATATTCCAAGACAGTCAAGGCACTTTGAACTCCATTTCTGCAACAATGGAGTTCAAAGTGGTTCACATCATAACCCAATTGTGAAACAAGCAATGAACATTACATTTTGTCAAATGCCATCATCAAAATCATCAGGTAAACAAACATCAAATATATTGATCAGTGTATTGATAAATGAAATCCTAGTTTGTAATTTTTTTTTTATTTACTCAGCTAAATTGGGATCACTTTAGAAGTGACACCGTCGTTCCCCAGAGTGTTTCTGTTAATCCCGCCCCACCGGGACCACTCGGCGGCAGCGGGTGTCAAACCTCCCCCTCTCCGTCGAGGACGCAGCCATGCCGAGCTGTGACGCTCCGCAGCCGGGCTGCTGCTGCTGCTGGCGCCTCGCCTCGTCCGTCTTCAGCTCCTCGCGCTCAGGTTAGCTGCCATGAGATCCCCATCGCGCTCCTGCTCACCGGCACCTGGCTGCTGGAAGACGCGCGTGAAGCGGGAAGCGGGACTAACCAGCCGCAGATCATGACTTCATAGGTTTCTGGTACGGAAAACGGATAACCGGCTCCGGGCATCTCTAATTGCGCTGACCGGTGCTGGGGGTCGAGATCTCTGGACCCCGAACCCGTCACTCAAACAGGTTGTCGGGGTGTTCTTCACTCTGAAAGGTAAGGCTTTGATCTGAATGGATTCCTAATTAGGTTAAAATGGGCTTAATGAGGGCTGCGTAACTGACCTGGCAACCTGTTCAAACAGTACTTTCAAATGCGATTAATTCAGCAAAACTATCACTTAAAGTGGCTTTTACTGTAATTACCAGACCAGACCAGACTGTAAGGTCAGTGGAATTATTACAGTTTATTTTATTATTTTATATGTATAAAAAAAAAAACGAAAATAAAAGTAGAAAATTCTTCTTTAATTAAAACACACACTAGTAATGTATGTATTAGTGAGTTACAAACCCTCTTAATGAGTAAATGGCACCAGATGTATTATCAAATAAACTGACGTAGTAAATGCATGGGCGTAGGTTTGGGTAGGGACGGTAGGGACATGTCCCGACCAATAT